GAAAAATCACAAAACCATAGGAATACAATAGGAACCGATTAACTTTTTTACATCTGCAATTAATAACACAGGGGAAAGTGGGGTAATATTAATAATTTAAGGCGCTCTTGCTACTAATTTAATTACATATTCCATATTGTGACGGGTAAATAGAAAAGGCAAGGGCAATCTTTAACTCATTAATAATGCAGGACATCTTTTTTTTATATACCAGTATTAGGTGTCTCTAATAACCCCCACTGTCCCCATAAAATAAAAAACTAATCAACAACCGTTCATTCTAGTTTTCTTTTCTACTTCCTTCCATTCTCTATTTTTTAATTAATACAATGACAAAAGATTCAACTTATCTAAGCGAAATAGAAATTACGTAAATAATAAACAGGCAAACTTAACGTTATCATATTAATCAAGAAAAAATTGTTGTTAAACTTTTTTGCGCTGTGCGTTTATTTACTATGGGGTAGCGGCATCGTTCCTATTATTTGAGAAGCGTTTTTAATTAAATACAAAAGTCAGGCAGATTATCATAAGATCGTAGCCACAAAGGACTTACTTCAATTTGTTTTTTAATGTGTAAACTTGCCTTATAACAAAAATTGCTACAATAATTCTACAACGGTAACATTTAAAAGTGTGCTATAGTATAAGTAGTTATTAACTTACTTTTCTGTCTGTTATATCATACACTTTATTGGCTTTGAATGAAATGTGAAACTGTTTTTTAGGCATTTCTGGTATTTTTTCAGAACATATAGCATATCCACAGACCTTATTTAATGCCCTTTCTTCCACAATATCCTGATAATAATCTTGATTTATATAAAGCAACTGCAATATGAAATAAAAAAAATGTATGATAATTACATATTTATATAATAAATACTAACACAATGGAGAAACGTTTCTATTCTTAGTCTTCCTTCAATCATAAATTCCACAATTTTCATAGCTCTTGTCTCAGACTCCTTCTTTTTTTGTAGTGTTATTAGAGTACTTTTTCTACATTCCAATGAAAAAATTAATTAAACTAGGAATAAACTGAATACTACAATGCACTTACATTTTTTCTCGCTGGTCAATTTGCTCGTTTTTCCTAACATTTTGTGATAAACGAAGGTAGTCCTCAAGGGAATCTTCCATGTTAACAGTTTACGAAATCACAAATTCGTTGCAAAAATAATAAGTTTATAGGCGATAATATACATATAAATAACAATAAGTTTTTTACATA